CTTTAAAATTAGTTACATGGCAAAATACGATATAAAAACTAATGCATCAATTTGATAAGTGATTGGATTAAAAAGAAAAAAATAGGGTTGAGCTTAATTAATGAAAAATAGAGAAAATAAAAAAAGAAGAAAAAATTCCACGATATAATAGTGTGTACGTAATAAATGACAAACATTGACCGTACATATGTACGAGTAGTAATCGTATGATTATGAAATCTTTGTTAGATTGGATATATGAATAAGTAATCACGGTCAAACACACAACGTGAGAGAGAGAGAGATAGAGAGAGTGAGAAGATCGTTTCGTTCGATGGTATTTTTTTTTTATTTTCTTTTTTCTTCTCCTTGAAGATTCCCCTTTGAGTTGTTTTTTAAATAAAATGTGCATTTTTACAATAAATTTTTGCTTATATAAAGAAAATATATAATAAAAAATATATTAATAATATATATATATATAAAAATATGATTATAGATGATGTTAGTGTAATCACAAGATCAGCATACATTCGAAACTAATTCTCATTGGTCGTCAATGTATCATCCGAGTTTAACATTGAATATGCGTAAACAATTCTCTCTCTCTCTGTCTCTCTCTCTCTGTCTCTCTCTTTGGATCTGTGTTAGCCATAAAAAAATACCTTGTTAAAAATATTAGACATTTATAAACTGCGTTTATTATAAATTCGCGATACGCGTTTTTAGGATACATTTTTTTTATCTTCTCTTGATACGAGATTATCGTAATTTTATTTTTTATTTTTTTTTTTTTTGACCTTTCACATTATCAACATTTTAATTTAACAAAAGCATCATAACTCTTAATTTTATAACACTGAAAATTATATCTAAATCTAAACGAAATCTGAACGTTTTATTTCATAGACAAATGTTTAATACAAAAGTTTTAATGTTTGAAAATATCATATATCTTTTGTTTTGTTTTTTTTTTTTTCAAAATTATATACGAATAATATTTACGCAACAAATTATTTGTGGTATCTCTCTCTCGTATATAGTATTTTTTAATATTAATTTAATAAAATTTGATTATAATAATTTGGTTACTACTTGTATCTTCGAAGAAGTTTAACTGAAAAAAAAAAAAAAAAAGAAAAAAAAAACGTGTGTTAAATCGTTAAAAGTAAAAAGAAAGAAAAAAGAAAAAAAAAAAAAAAATGAGAAAATATATCAATCGAATTAAATTAATCAAAAAATAATACGATTTTCACGTTAAAATTTTTCTACGATAAGATTGGAAATATAGTTTTCTTTATTATTATATTTGATTTCGTTTAATTTAAAATTAATCAACTTACGTAATATTTTAAGTGTAATATTTGTCGTGAATGTGTAATGATTTGGAAATATTTGAATGGAAAAAAGAAAACGAAAAGGTGATGATAAAAAAAGAAATGCAAATAAGATGCAAACACAAGGATTGTTTAATTAATAATATAACATAAGTGAAGAAGGATGATGTGATGACTTTTATTTTATCGTATGTAAAAAAAAAAGAACGAACGTATGATGAAATAAATAATTAACGTGAACGTGGATATAAAAACGATTGGACTTGGATTTGAATTTGGAAATAATAAAAAGAAACAATATTATGATTATGCGAATACAACGCTAGTCGGAATATAATATATTTATGGTCCTTCAAAATTAATGATTGATATCTTTTTTTTTTTCTCTATTGAATTATCAGATTTTTTTTTTTGAAATTTTTCGACGTGGGATAATTTTTTGATTATTAAAAATTTTATTCCAATTAAATTACATGATATTTCCTTTTTTGCGTTATTTATTATTATTATTATTAGTTTATGGTATCGTTAACGGGATGAGACGCATTAAGAGATTTATTTTAGCTGATAGAAACGAAAGAGAACAAATGTGGACGAGTTCGAATAATATTGTATTTAAAATTACATCGGAGGATGATGATAATGAACAAGAAGAAGAAGAAAAAGGGAAAAATGCAGAAGATGAAGAAGAAGTGGGGGAAGAAGAAAAAAAGAATTATTTAAAACCAAGGACATCTGGATTAACGTAATACTGTTTTCAAATATAAATTATGCATAATTCAATATTTTGTTTAACTACTATTACATATTACGTGTTTAATACGCGAATAAAATTCAAATAATATTTTTGTATATGTTTGCCTCGTAATTATATTTATATATATATACGTGTGCAAATATATATTCTTTTTATATTTTATTTTTTAAATAAATTCATTTCGTAACATTTGTCTCTCGCGAGAAAAAGAAATGAAATGATATGATGATTAATCGTAAATCGTAGAAGAGAAAAATTAACATTGATCGACGATTTACGTCAAACGTAAAATATATATAAAAAAAATTAAATTACAATAATTCGACAAAAAAGTAACCCGAAAAAATAAAAAAGATCCTAACGTATGGATAAAGTGTGTTAATATCAATCAGAAATTGATGATACATAGGATAATATTGATCGGAAAACCATGTACATGATTTTAAAAGGCACGATATTGCGTGAGCTGTTTAAATTAACGGTTCATATACTTTCTCCATTCTCATTCATGCATTTTTAACATAGTTGGATGACGAGCCAGGATTCTTTTCTTAAGAATTTTCTAAAATAATATTTGATACACACACCTGTCGTAATTGTGTCGTTTAATGTCATTGGTATATTAAAAAAAAAACTATAAAAATTAATAATAATTTTGCGATGGAAATATATTCAAATGTGTAACATATACACAAATTAATTAAGATGATAATAATAATAATAATCACACATGAAATATCAAATTATAATAATAAAAAGAATAATCGTATAAAATACGAGAGTAAGAGGGTTTCGTCAATTTGTTGTGTTTAATTTAAAAAATCCGTTCGATAGATTTTGTTAATTGTTTTTTATTTTGATTTTGTGCAGGCCTAGCATGTCGCAGGGTACGGTGATGATTCAGGCACAAAGTCGATTGCAAGAGAAAGACTTCACCGTTGCGACACCAGAAGAATTCGTTCATCGTTTTGGTGGTACCAAGGTTATCAACAAGGTAATAAAAAGATAAATGTTATTTTATTAAATGAAATTTAATAACTTATAACCAATCGTAACATATATATTTCATTTAGAATGATTTACGCAATTATCAATGAAAAAATTAATATTCCTATAAGATTAATATTATTTTTAATAAATATAATGTTTATATAGGTTTTAATAGCTAACAATGGAATCGCTGCAGTCAAATGCATGCGTTCGATACGACGATGGTCTTACGAGATGTTTAAGAATGAAAGAGCAGTACGTTTCGTGGTCATGGTCACGCCGGAAGATCTTAAAGCTAATGCAGAATATATTAAAATGGCTGATCAATATGTCCCAGTACCTGGTGGAACAAATAATAATAATTATGCTAACGTCGAATTAATTGTTGATATTGCAACGAGAACCCAGGTGCAAGCTGTTTGGGCTGGTTGGGGTCATGCATCGGAAAATCCTAAATTACCAGAATTATTACACAAGAATAATATTATTTTTATAGGTAAAATAATATATATAATTAATTTATATTTCAATTAAATAGAAAAGAGACAAATTATTTGAATTATATTAAAAACATTACATTAATATAATATTATTATTTATTATAAACACATAGGTCCATCGGAAAGAGCAATGTGGGCTTTAGGTGATAAAATAGCTTCAAGTATAGTTGCTCAAACAGCTGACGTTCCTACATTACCTTGGTCGGGATCCGAATTGAAAGCTCAATACAGTGGCAAGAAAATTAAAATATCGACCGAATTGTTCAAGAAAGGTTGTGTTTCAACCGTTGAAGAATGTCTTGCCGCGTCTAATAAAATAGGTTTTCCAATTATGGTGAAAGCTAGTGAAGGTGGTGGTGGTAAAGGTATTAGAAAATGTGAAAATGCTGAGGAATTACCTGCTTTATTTAGGTGAATTGATTAATCTATCCTCAATTGATACTGTTCATTTAAAAAATCTATATATATTTATATATAAATAATTTATTTATTAATTTGTAGACAAGTCCAAGCTGAGATACCGGGTTCGCCAATATTTATCATGAAAATGGCGAAGTGTGCTCGTCATTTAGAGGTGCAATTATTAGCCGATAATTACGGTAATGCAATATCGTTGTTCGGACGTGATTGTTCCATTCAAAGAAGACATCAGAAAATAATAGAAGAGGCACCAGCTGTAGTAGCCAAACCAGAAGTCTTCGAAGAGATGGAGAAAGTATATAAATGCAATAGTTTTATTAATGAAATAACATTGTGTGTTTTCTCTAGTACACAGTAGTTATTTAATCATACTTTTGACGTTTGTTTTAACAGGCTGCTGTGAGATTAGCCAAGATGGTCGGATATGTAAGCGCGGGTACCGTTGAATATTTATACGACACTTCCGGTCGTTATTATTTTTTGGAATTGAACCCTAGACTTCAAGTAGAACATCCGTGTACCGAGATGGTATCGGACGTTAATCTCCCTGCTGCACAACTTCAAGTGGCTATGGGATTGCCACTTCATCATATCAAAGATATACGTCTCCTTTACGGCGAGAGTCCTTGGGGTGACAGTCAAATAGATTTTGATCAGTTACGTCATAAACCTCAGCCTTGGGGTCACGTAATAGCTGCTAGAATAACCAGCGAAAATCCCGACGAAGGTAAAAGTCCTATCGACAAATTTGATTGAATGCAATTTGTATTTGTCATTTTTGATGCATTACGTTCCTATTTGTTTCTCTTTTTTTTTTTTATTGTTGTTGTTGTTCAGGTTTCAAACCGAGTTCAGGTACGGTACAAGAATTGAACTTTAGATCGTCTAAAAACGTCTGGGGTTATTTTTCTGTCGGCGCATCCGGTGGTCTTCACGAATTCGCCGATTCGCAATTCGGTCATTGTTTTTCCTGGGGCGAGGATCGTTATCAAGCACGAGAAAATTTGGTCATTGCTTTGAAAGAATTGAGTATAAGGGGTGACTTTAGAACGACGGTAGAATATTTAATAACGTTGCTGGAAACCGAATCCTTTCAACAAAACACTATCGACACGTCGTGGCTCGATGTGCTTATTGCAGAACGCGTTAAAAGTGATAAACCCGACGTTTTATTAGCCGTTACTTGTGGTGCCATTCATATTGCTGATAGAACTATCACTGCCGCGTTTACTGGTTTTCAAACATCATTGGAAAAAGGTCAAGTACAAGGCAGTAACGATTTAAATAATTTCGTAGATGTAAGTCCTATTTAAATGATGATATCTCTATTTAAAATTAAAATAGACAGACATAAAGTATATTTTAACTATAAGACAAATTTTATTAATATTGTTATAATATTTCAGGTAGAATTAGTGAACGATGGTTACAAGTACAAAGTTGAAGCAGCCAAGTCAGGTCCTAATAGTTATTTCCTCGTTTTAAATAGTTCCTATAAAGAGGTAGAAATTCATCGACTGTCCGACGGTGGTTTGTTGCTTTCGATGGATGGTGCAAGTTACACGACATACATGAAGGAAGAAGTAGATCGTTATAGAATAATAATAGGTAATCAAACCTGTGTATTCGAAAAGGATAACGATCCGTCTTTACTTAGAGCGCCGTCAGCCGGTAAATTGATTAATTTCTTGGTGGAGGATGGTGGTCACGTTGACAGTGGACAAGCTTACGCCGAGATCGAAGTAATGAAAATGATTATGACAGTAACGGCTAGCGAAGCTGGTACAGTGTTCTACGTTAAAAGGCCAGGTGCTATTCTTGAGGCTGGTACTACGATAGCTCATTTAGAACTCGATGATCCATCTTTGGTGACTAACGCTGAGGAATACACGGGCCAATTTCCGACACCAGTTGCACCAGCTATTCCAGACAAATTAAATCATCTTCATGCGAAATATCGGATTGCTTTGGAAAATACTTTAGCTGGTTACTGTTTACCAGACCCATATCATCTACCACGTTTACGTGAACTGATTGAAAAGTTCATGTACTCTTTACGCGATCCTAGCTTACCTTTGCTTGAACTTCAAGAAGTCATAGCTACGATATCGGGAAGAATTCCACCTTCGGTTGAGAAAAAGATTAGAAAATTGATGTCATTGTACGAAAGGAATATAACTTCTGTTCTTGCACAATTTCCTAGTCAACAGATCGCTGCTGTTATCGATGGACACGCTGCTACCCTTTCAAAACGTTCCGACAGAGACGTGTTCTTCTTGACAACGCAAGCTATCGTTCAACTTGTGCAAAGATATCGGAATGGTATACGTGGTCGTATGAAAACAGCCGTACACGAACTTCTTCGTCAATATTATACGGTTGAGTGTCAATTTCAACAAGGACATTACGACAAATGCGTGACCGCTTTAATAGAACAATACAAAGATGATTTAAGTACAGTAACTGCAATGATTTTCAGTCACAATCAAGTAACCAAAAAGAATATCCTAGTAACTATGTTAATCGATCATCTCTGGGCTAACGAACCTGGTCTCACCGACGAATTGGCTAGCACTTTAACGGAATTGACTAGCTTGAACAGAACGGAACACAGTCGAGTTGCGTTAAGAGCTAGACAAGTATTAATAGCAGCACATCAACCTGCCTACGAATTAAGACACAATCAAATGGAATCGATATTTCTATCAGCCGTCGACATGTACGGCCACGATTTTCATCCTGAAAATCTTCAAAAACTTATACTTTCCGAGACATCTATATTCGATATTCTACACGATTTCTTCTATCACTCGAATCGTGCGGTTTGCAACGCAGCATTGGAAGTTTACGTTCGTAGAGCTTACATCAGTTACGAATTAACGTGTTTACAACACTTGGAATTGTCAGGAGAAATGCCTCTCGTACATTTTCAATTCTTGTTACCCAACAATCATCCCAATCGGCAAACTCAGTCAATTGTTAATTACAGAACAGGAGCTATGGCGGCGTTCAAAGATTTCGATCAATTCCGCGAATACTCGGACGAGATTTTCGATTTGTTGGAAGACTTATCTTCGCCCAGTTCGGTATCCGTTAAAGTCTTAGAAGCTGTAGACGCGATTGGTAGTGAATCACGTCACAGTACTTCTATAAACGTATCGCTCAGCACCGCAGAAGTTGCTGCAACTACTGCGGAATTAGGTGAGAGACCAGCCGAGCCTGTACACATTTTAAGTATTGCAATTAAAGAAGACGGTACGCAAGACGACGCTACTATGGCAAGATTATTTGGCGATTGGTGTGCAACCAGTAAAGACGAATTAATATCTCGTGGAATTAGGAGAGTCACTTTCGCAGCTTTAAAAAAGAAACAATTTCCAAAATTCTTTACGTTCAGGCAAAGAGACGGATTCGTCGAGGACAGAATTTATCGTCACTTGGAACCAGGTTGTGCATTCCAATTGGAACTTAATAGAATGAGAACATACGATTTGGAAGCTTTACCAACGTCGAATCAAAAAATGCATTTGTATCTTGGACAGGCAAAGGTAGCCAAAGGACAGCAAGTTACGGATTATCGTTTCTTCATACGCTCTATTATTCGTCATTCCGATTTGATTACCAAGGAAGCAAGTTTTGATTATCTTCATAACGAAGGAGAACGAGTATTGCTCGAAGCTATGGATGAATTAGAAGTAGCTTTCTCGCATCCTTTAGCTAAACGTACAGAATGTAATCATATATTCTTAAATTTCGTACCTACGGTCATAATGGATCCTGCCAGGATAGAAGAAAGTGTTACAAGTATGGTACTCAGATATGGTCCGAGATTATGGAAATTACGTGTTCGCCAAGCCGAAATTAAAATGACCATCCGTCCAGCACCTGGTAAAACAACATCAACCATACGTTTGTGCATTGCCAATGACAGCGGTTACAGTATAGATTTACATCTTTACGCTGAATCGACGGATCCTAAAACAGGTATCATCCGTTTCGAATCTTATCCACCACCTGCTGCTAATATATCCAATTGGAGGCCTGGTCCTATGCACGGTTTACCAATTTCTACACCTTATCTTACCAAGGATTATTTACAAGCGAAAAGATTCCAAGCCCAAAGCGCTGGTACAACTTACGCGTACGACTTGCCTGATATATTTCGACAACAAGTTGAAAAATCTTGGCATAAATATATTGAAGAGAGACCCAATTCGAATATAATCATTCCTTCCTCGGTAATGGATTGCGTTGAATTAGTATTGGACGGTGAAAATCTTGTTGAACAAAAACGTTTGCCCGGTGAGAATGACGTAGGCATGGTAGCATGGAGATTAACGTTGTACACACCCGAATTTCCAACCGGTCGAGATATCATATTGATAGCCAACGATTTAACACATTTCCTTGGCTCGTTTGGTCCGAAAGAAGATTTGGTATTTTACAGAGCATCAGAAAGAGCCAGACAACTTGGTATTCCGCGTATTTATTTCGCCGCAAACGCAGGTGCGCGTATTGGCCTAGCCGAGGAAGTGAAAGCATTGTTCAGAATAGCGTGGGAAGATGAGAATGAGCCTGAAAAGGGATTCAAGTATATATACTTGACACCAGACGATTATGCTCGTTTGGCGCCACTTAATTCGGTCAAGGCTTCCTTGATCGAGGATCCAGCTGGTGAATCTCGTTACAAGATTACGGATATAATTGGCAAGGACGACGGTATTGGTGTAGAAAATTTAAAATACGCTGGTATGATCGCCAGTGAAACGTCCCGTGCTTACGACGAAATAGTTACCATTTCTATAGTTTCGTGTCGTGCTATTGGTATCGGTTCATATTTGGTGCGTCTTGGTCAGAGAACTATTCAAATAGAAAATTCTCATATCATTCTTACCGGTTACCGTGCATTGAATGCCGTACTAGGACGGGAAGTTTACGCGAGTAACAATCAATTAGGTGGTATTCAAATAATGCATAACAATGGTGTTACTCATGCGGTCGATAGCAGAGATTTGGAAGGGGTGGCCACAGTTTTGAGATGGTTGAGTTATTTCCCAAGGGCCAGAGGTACAAGTTTGCCAATATTACCCTCGCCTTTACCTGATCCTATCAACCGAGAAATTACTTATGTGCCTACCAAAGCACCCTACGATCCAAGGTGGATGTTAGAGGGTAGATACTTGCCCAACGATCAAAATATATGGGAAAGTGGTTTCTTCGATCGTGGATCATGGCAGGTATAATATAATTCATTATTTTTTCTCTAATATATCTTTTACCAATTATTATAAATTCCTTTATTTTCATGGTATTAAACATGTTTTTTTTTCTATTGAATTATGTAGGAAATAATGAAACCTTGGGCACAAACTGTGATAACTGGTAGAGCAAGACTCGGTGGTATACCCTGTGGAGTTATCGCCGTTGAAACGAGAACCGTTGAATTGCATCTTCCTGCTGATCCTGCTAATCCTGATTCAGAAGCTAAAACAATATCTCAGGCTGGCCAAGTATGGTTCCCAGACAGTGCCTATAAAACTGCGCAAGCTATCCAAGATTTTAATAGGGAAGAACTTCCACTTGTTATATTTGCTAATTGGAGAGGATTTTCTAGTGGAATGAAAGGTTCGTATATATGAATTTATATTTATACGCGAGATTAATCCTTGTTACACATTGTTATAAAATAATGTCTAATAATAATTATGCGTTTATTTTACAGACATGTATGATCAAATAGTTAAATTCGGTGCCTATATCGTGGACGCTTTAAGAGAATACACGCAACCAATATTTGTTTACATTCCACCAAATGGTGAATTAAGAGGAGGTGCGTGGGCGGTGGTAGATACTACGATCAATCCACGATACTTAGAAATGTTTGCTGATAATACCAGCAGAGGTGGTGTATTGGAAGCTACTGGTATCGTAGAAATTAAATTCAGAAACAAGGATATTATCAAGAGTATGCATAGAACAGATTCTGTTATTCAAAAGTTAAAAGTACGTATATTATTCATTTATATTATATTTTATTGAATTAATATGTTTTGTTTTTTTCCAATGATTTCCTTTAAATCTATAAACAAATATACGTATATCGTAGGAAAATTTAACGACATCAACTTCGGCCGAGGAAAAAATAGAATTAGAATCGCAGATACGTAAGAGAGAAAAATCTTTAATACCGATCTATCAACAAGTAGCCGTTTATTTCGCGGATCTTCACGACACGCCAGAACGAATGTTGGAGAAGAACACGATACAGGATATAATACCGTGGCAAAAAGCAAGACCCTTGCTTTATTGGAAATTGAGAAGAAGATTATTGGAGGAGAAAATTAAAAAAGATATTTTGTCGATGCAACCAAAACTCGACGTTAGACAAATAGGTGCAATGTTGAGACGGTGGTTTATTGAAGATAAGGGAGCGATAGAATCTTACCTTTGGGATCAGGATGAAGCAGCTACTACATGGTTGGAAGCACAACTTGTTAATGAGAACAGCGTTGTGTTACGCAATATTATGTGCGTTAAAAAAGACGCTGTTATAACACGCATCAAAGAGGCCCTTGAAACTTGTCCGGAAGTAAGATTGGATGCTGTATTAGAAATAGCTCATAGATTAAATCCTGCTGAACGTGCTGAATTGCAAAGAACTTTATCGCAAATGGAAACACCAGATCAAGAACATCACATCGATTCGAGTTCTTCTTCCTAAGATACAAATTTGTAAACGATCCTAATCTTTTCTTATTCTCTTTCTTTCTTTCTTTCTTTCTTTCTTTTTCTCTACATCTATCTGCGTACCTGGTGTATGTGTAGCAATTATTATTTTATTAGAAGTTATTATTTGTACAGACATTAAAACACGCGATTATATTATTATTCGTCGATAATAATAGATTGTTCAGGTATAGTATCTTTTTTCTTTTCTTTTCTTTTTCGTTCCCAAATGGTGGCATATGATTTAAATTATAATGTTTTTTTTTTTTTTTTAACACTAGAACTCTACCGACAAAATTACTTTGGTATATTTAAGATATACCTACGTATAATTATAAGTGTGTATTTCTCAGTCAAGAAACGAGAACAAACAGAATTAAGTTAAAACAGAAGATTAAACAAGGAATTTATATAAATTGATCATATGTATATAATAATAATAGACAAAAAGTTATTAACGCCTTGAAAAAACATGTGATGAAAATTTTAAATAGAAATTTTTTATATAAATAATAATAATAATAATAATAAAAAAAGAAAAAGGAAAAAAAAAATTAAAACAGAGTCGTAATCAGTCATTATGACTGATTTGGTAAATCTCTAGTGTTAAGGATTTCTAGAAGATGAAACACACAACGAATTTATATAAATTGCATATGTATATAATAATAATAATAATAATAGACAGAAAAAGTTATTAATGCCTTGAAAAAACTTGTGATGAAAATTTTAAATAGAAATTTTTTATATAATTAAAAAGGAATTAAAACAGAGTCGTAATCAGTCGTTATGACTGACCTGGTAAATCTAATGTTAAGGATTTCTAGATGATATAAAAGATTTATACATACATGCATATATATATGAAAGAAAAAGAAAAGGATAAAAAGATAAAAAGAAAAATAGTTAATATTTTAAAATAATAGCTATTGTAAATTTTATATCATCTTTAATTATTTGTCTTTTGTATTATATATATATACATATATATATAAATATATATATACATTATATGCAGTCTTAAACTTGCATAAATCTCATATTGGATGAACATGATCTCAATTTATTTAAATGTAACATTAAAAAACTGGAATTTGACTTCGATGTACATCGACGATATCGTCGTCCAAGGTAAGTAAAATCATAAAGGAGAAAAACATCGCGAATGCTGATAAGAAGTGCCAAATATCGTGGGAATCGAAAAAGTTTAATAACACGCAAGGTTTATTAAAGAGACGTGATTGGGCAGGTGTTAGATTCCAGGATATTGTTTTATGTATGAAGAAATATAATGCAGCTGCCCAGAATAAAACTGCGAATACAATATACATTAATGGTTTAAGCAAAATTCTCTCTTTATGGCACAACTGTAAAAAAGAAAAAACAACAATAATTATTATGTTAAAAATAATAAGACAAAAACAAAAAAAAAAGAAGAAATCGAAATCTAGTAATACGAATTAAAAATTGTTTTTCGATAATTACCTTCATTATTATATAAAATAATGTATATAAAATTAAATTGGACATCAAGATTGCTAATAAAAATGTAGCAAAATTTTTCTCATGATATAAATTGCCGTAAACCGATAAACCGATGTTACATAAATTTGCTACAACGAGCATTGCAAATCTTCCAGCGTAAAGTGGCCGGAATAAATATGTTACTCCGCAACGTGCATCGTTTTTAAATGTCTACGAACAAAAAAAATAAGTGATGAGATACTTGTGGAATCGAATCATTTAAGAAAAAAATAAATATAAAACAAAAGTAATAACATACTTGATAAACCCTAGAGAAAAGGCCTCTGTTACATCTCCAACGTCCCATGTAATAGATCTGTGCTGTTAAATTTAAGCAAGCAAACAAATGTGTAGTCGTAAATATTGCCCAAAAATATTTGGAACCATCCAAAACTCCGATTAATCCTAAAAGTATGATGAGGGCCAATATTCCAAAAGTAACCGGAGCTCTTGCATTTATGTCAGGATGGCGAGTTTGATAAATTTTGATCATACATAGCACTGCTATTATATACATAAAACTAGTATCTGAAATTCATATATACAAATAATGTAATAATAATAATATTTTCTTAACAAAATAATGTATGTGTAAAAAGATTTAGAATAATAATTAATAATAATATATCAATGTTATATTACCAAACTGAAAATTACTACGACTCGGACAAATGTGATAACTTCCTGAAAGAACGCCTTCCATAATAAGCGCAAAACCCATTGCATAAAATAATCCATAATGCTGTGGTATTCCATAACATTTTGTGTTTAGATTATCTGATTCGGCTAGTTCTCGTGAATACGTTAAAAATATAAATAATATGCCGAGTAGAACGTATCCGCAATTAGAAAAGACATGATTAAAATCTGATATTAATCCCAATGGATGAGCACATAAGAAATTGTAATAACACATATCCTGATTTCCGGTAGCATGAAGTACTCGTTCATATGTTACTACCAATTGCAAGACAGGTAACGTATAGAAAATAGCAACAGTTGCTAAATAATATAAATATAAGCGTGATTTATGCTTCAAAATGTTGGGTTCCTTTCGTGCCAGATCACACACCGAGAGTACGATTTTAGTTCGTATTACTTCTTTATCTGAAAGAGCATCCTCCATCATATCTATGTCGTCCTCGTCCAACGAAGAATCTTCTTCTACCGTTGCCCATTGACTAGGACCAACCTGAGAAAATAACTTTTCTAATAAATATAAAAATCATGAAATAAAAATGTTGAAATTTAATGGATTTCTTTTTAAACATCATCATACCGCTTCAACGGTTGAAGGACTTTGTAAATTTTGATTAAATTCATTGTTCCTGTCAGTTAGCAATTCTTCTCGAACTTTTCTACCTTCCCTAATTTTACCTACGACCACAGCTATCACGCAGCATCCGCAAAATATGATAATAACAAATGTTGCTATACATGATGCTACAATATAATCTTTTTTCGTAATACTAGAATGTACAGTTAATGTAACATTTTTATTTCTAGGCGAACTGGTGCTAAGCACACCATTACAATCCGTATCATCTCCTTTAACAACTAGTACAACAAAAAATCCTGAAGGATATGCTTCTTTCTGAAAATTATATATATATATATATATATATATATTTGAATTATTTTTAAATCGTTATTATGTTATTAAAGAAAAAAGAAAGAAATACTTACAGATACAGTAATACCGCCTTTTCGACTTATAGTTTGCCAATATCCAGAAAATTCAATATTACGTTCCAAATCAAATACTGGACACTAAAAAATAATTTATATTAATAGTTTTGTTATAATACATTAACAAGAATTTCGTATAAAAATCAAACAACTTACGGATACGTTTTGTATAGAAAATGTCATGCAAATATCATTATCTGATTCAATGCTAACAATTACGGATGAACTTTGAGATTTTTCTGGAAATATATAACTGTAATATATAGGCTCGGAAGGAGAAATTTCAAAACTTCTTTTCTCATCTGTCCTGTTAAGAAATAAAAATAAGAATCAAATAATTTATAATAACAGTAAGATATTAAAAATAATTTAAAATCAATATACAAATAATACAATTAAAATTACCTTATATTAAAATCTGTTTCCTCTGCTACACTAAGATTAAAAAATATATTTGTATGACTAGCTGTAGATATACTAACAGAAATAAAATCTTGGTCATCTGCATCACGATAACTACTTCTATAATACTTTGTTGAACATAATGTTCGACTAGTCTTGTTATACTTCAATGGATCAAAATTTACGCTTTCAATGATAAGAGGAATTTGCCATGATAGAATTCCTCGATCTTGTCGAACCACTACGATTAAAGGAAGATCAGAAGTAGCATCACTTTCCACTTGTATTCGTGCAGTTTTTAATAATGTGTTCTAAACAAAAATCATATCAATTAATTGTATATATTTTTGTTTTCTAAAATAATAATAATAATAATAATAATTTGATATACTTTACATTATTCGTAGGATATAAGAATACATATTCAATGGTATTGTTTATTGTAGCATCATAATTCTGTGTATAGTTAGCGGATACAACGATTGGAGTAAATGATGTTTCTAGTAGAACAGCCTTAGTTTTTAAAATGCTAATAACAATCAACACCGTCGATGATATAAGGAATTTCCACATGTCCGTTGTGTTGTACCTACTTGAAATCAAAATATTAATTATTAGAGATGAATTCATTTAAAAGATCTATATTATTTTACCTGACGTTGATTAAACATAAACCCTGTTTACTAAAACATATGTTGAATATAAATTCATATATACAATATTACACTTTTATATGTAATATATACAAAAATTCCTGTAAAATAAGGATTTTAAATCAGTCATAGGGGGACTTCCCCATAAGCAAATATGAATCATCCAAATGTTTACACTCACACAAATCTAATTTCATGATGTTGTCTCATTCACTGGTTTATTTATTCATAATTAAAATTGTTAAAACGTAAAATAAATTATAATAACAGATGCCTTTTAAACAATAACTGTGACAAATAGATATAATTACGTTTCATACAATTGTGTTAAACTATTGAATGTTTTAATTTGACAGGAAATGATATAACCGGATTTACATGTGTCGTGAATTTAATATACAAAAGAAAAAGGAATAAATAAATAAATAAATGATAAAGTACAGAACTATTGGTTATAGACGTTTAAACGAACGTTTTCATTGTAGAGAAAAATTCTGACAATTAATAAAACAATTTTTGGAAGAAAAGATCATACATTGATGGATAATATGTCGCCATATTTAAATTACCTATATATTACAATTAGTTAAATATTTAATTATTGTTAAATCACTATTATGTTGAATTGAAATTAATCATTTTAATAATAATAATAATAAATAGTAATGTATTTGGTAAAAATATAGATTTATCAATAATTCATAATAATAATTTAATATTAATTAAATAGTTTAATTATTCTATTGTTACAGACAATGTTTTTTTTTGAACTCTGTTTTTTAACTTTTGACATATGCAACGAGGTAAAAATATCTCGAATGAAAAATATCGATACAAACATAACTCGAAGTTATCAATATACTGTATCGATATATCGAAGTTTCGTGTTCATGTGGATGATTAGAAAGTCATCTCGTATTTATTAGAAGTATTATCAAAGATGGCGGCTACCGTTGTACAAAAGGATGTTCCTACATTTTTAAGATCAAAACAAAATGTTTCGGATAAGGAATTGGCCGAGGAGTGGGTGGAACTCGATAATCTATACAAAAAAAAGTAATTTAATAATAATTATTAATATTATTGTTAAGTTTAGAATAAGATAACGAAATGCATTAATTCTTACGACCCGGTGACTTGCAGGCTTTGGCATCAGCTAACTCTCAAATTGGAAACGTTTGTGAAACATCCATTATTGCAGCAAAATGACAATCTTATACAATTGTATGTTAATTTTCTATCGACGTTTGAAAGCAAGTAAGTTTAAAGATAATTTGTGTATTTCATTTTATTGGACAAATGTTTAACCTTAATTCTGTGTTATGTTTCATTAATTATGACATTCTCTTTTTCCTATTTTTTTAGAATAAATCCATTATCGTTGATTGAAATAATAGCACACGTTATTCAACAATTTCAAGATAAACAAGAAGCTATTCAATTTTTAGAAAAAACAGAATCCAAAGTTAAAAGCAATAATGAGGCAGTAGCTCTGTGCAAAGTTTTAACGGGACAGATCTTACTCGATAAATTAAATAATCAAGAACAAGCGAAGAAAATTATAGAAGATGTGGAAGTAATGCTCGATAACGCAGATGGAATTACCACTGTTCATGGGAGATTTTATCTTCTCGCTAGTAGATTGTATAGATTACAAGGAAAACACGCAGAATATTATCGTACTGCATTAAGGTATGTTAAATAAAATATTATATTTTTCTCTTTTGAAATCTCATAGCGCATTACAATATAATGTTAATTTAATTCTATAGATACCTGGGATGCATCGATTTAAATAGCTTGGATAGACAAGAGCAAGAACAGCATGCATTTTTCCTTGGATTAGCCGCATTGTTAGGAGAAGGAGTTTACAATCTCGGTGAATTACTTGCCCATCCAGTTTTAGAATCTTTGAAAGATACACCCAATTCATGGTTGGTAGATTTACTTCAAGCATTCAATGCCGGTGACATTGTTGCCCTAGAAAAATTAAAACCCCAATGGAGTAAAGTTGCTGACTTAGCGGCACAGGAATTAAAATTAAGACAAAAAATATCTCTTTTATGTCTTATGGAAATGACTTTCAAGCGACAAGCAAACAATCGACAATTGACATTTACTGAAATATCGCAGGAAACTCGTTTACCTTTAGGAGAAGTTGAATTATTAGTTATGAAAGCTCTTGCTCAAGGATTAGTACGTGGTGCTATTGATCAAGTTGCAGGTACCGTTCACATGACTTGGGTTCAACCTCGAGTATTAGATCGTAGTCAAATCGCTGGTATGGTTCAACGACTTGACGGATGGTGCAAAGATGTTAGTTCAATGGAAAAATTATTAGAATCCCGAGCATCCGAAATACTAACCCTTTAATTAATAAATAACTTTTTAACTTCTCACAACTTATTTGCAAATTGTACTTTTATATCTTTTCCAATGATGGAAGAAACAAGTTTTCGCATTGCAAAATATTTAAACTATGTTCAATTAGAAGTAAACGAAATAACCAATTAATTAAAAATAAAAAAGAAAAGGTAAATTTAATTTACAAATAACACATTGAAAACTACAAGTTCATCATTCTTCTTAAGCAATCTATATAGTTTTGTTTATAATGTATCAATAAAAAATATTATTAGTTATTTATTTACAGAGAATTATTAAATAATCAATTGGGTCATCAATACGTTTCACAATGAAATATTTTTTAACAATTTAATTTTTATGAATAACTCAAACTCTATTGAATAAATTAAAAATAAATTATATAAGTAAAGTATTTAATAATAGAATACTCTCTCTACAAGAAAAGAAACTTTTTCTTTTTTAATTTTGTATATTATTATATTTAGTTAGAAATATATAAATTAATTGAATGCCTAATTGTGTGTGTGTGTGTGTGTGTGTGTTTGTGTGTATGTGTGTGTGTGAAATCTGTGGCCGTCACGCCAAAGCTTGGCGTCTCCGGCACTCTTACCGTCACGCCCCTAGTGGCGAAACAGAAGAACTAAAAAAAACACCACGCATTTGAACAACCGCTGCTATTTGCTCTCTTCCGTTCCAACCACCGAGCTAGACACACGCGTACTCATGAGCAGTAAACAAAGACGTGAAACTAGTCACTACTTCCTTTTTACTCTTTAAGATTTTGTTAAGTTTGTTATATATTTTGTACAAGACCTTTTTGATACGTTTTATAATAAAATATTTATATAATATTTTTCCCTAGTGAATTAGTGATTTCCTAATATAATTGAACACGCTACAAATCAGGGACATGTGGCGACATCTTGGTCAGGGTTAAGTAGGATAAAACAGCTGCATTGTTAGTGTTACGCATATACGATTAACATCTAAGTGAATAATACAATCGTTGTATTAATAAAATCTAATTAAAATAATTATTTAAATATTCTCGTTTATAAGATAAAAGTTATCTTTTTTTTTCCAGTATTTTTATTATATGTTCTTAAAGGTTGAAATTAGCACGTGATTTTTTACAACGAACAGTAACTAAAATAATAGGTTAGAAACAATTGTGTTTTCTTAATAAGTAAACAGTTTAAAGATTCGTGAAGTGAATTAAAAATTAAGTCTTCTGATAAAAAGATTTAATATATAAAATATATAATTAATAATATTTCTTTGTCATTGTGAAACAATAATTAGTATCCACATTAAAATAAAAATGGATAACATATCCACGTTGAAACGACCCAAACCCAGTGATAACGAGGAAGAATTATTTCAAATGCAAGAAGATTTTATACAAAACAAACTACAACCATCAGCTAAAGTGATCAATTTAAGACATTTAAATATGGATCAAGCTAATTCTATACAAAATTCGACGACTAAGTGTGCAGCTAATTCAAATAAAAAACAATCCAAATTTGTGAAATCCAAGAAACAAAAACTAGAAAAGGTTTCTACGTCCCAAAGTACAGGTGAATTATTGAATGCAAATGTCAAAGAGAAATTGTCTATAAATTCGTCTACGAATATTTGCGATTTTGTACAAAATATACCTATAAATCGATCAAAAATAATTCTTGGAAATATAATAGAAAAGAAATTGGATGTGAAGGATATGAAATATAACTTTGATACAAGAGTTAATAATAATTCAAAAATTGCCTTTCCAGAAGTATTCGTGTTTGATAATTACAAGGTATTTACATAAATATATTATTATATAAATATATTATTTTAAGCTGATACTCGATACGATTAAATATATTCATTTGTAAATTTTATATTCGTTTTAGAGAACGTCAGATAAACAGAGTTTATTTTCACAAAAATGTTCACAAAGGAAAGTTGCTGATAATTCTACTAAAATGGAATGCGAAGAGGAGTTTGATAAGACGAAGAATGAAGGTTCTGATCTTGTATTGAATTCAATAGCGGAAGAAGTTCATCAAGAAAATTTGGAAAAATTGAGAGAAATGACACAAGAAGAAATATTGATGGAAAAAAGCAAGCTTGAATCGTCTCTCGATCCAGAGTTAATAAAGTTTATTAAAAATAGAAGAAAAGTGAAAACCAAAATGGAAGTAAATAAACCAGATGTTCGATCAGGTAATCTAAATGGTGAAGAGTGTGTAAGAAATAAAAAAAATGATTCTTCGTGTTATGACCAAGCCGAAGTTATGGAATGTGAAAATAATATAGAAAATGTACCAAAGCCTTGCATAGAAATTCTAAAAGAAGCTAAGAATAAGGGGTGGGTTCATTTGGATACCGTAGAAGTTGATAAATTACAGTGGATGCAAGATATAGCAGAAACAAAGGAAGATAAATCTGCACCCGATGAACCTTACAATGCTCGATTTGATTTTAAAGGTAATTTTAATTGATATTTAATTATAACATATTACTTTAATATGCTTATATATTTATTTTGTATTTTAATAGGTTTATTACTTCCATACAAAGATGAGAGTTTATCATGGGATAATGGTCTTCATCATCACGGAGAAGAACCAGAACGTCCTGGTTATTCTTTGCAAGAATTATTGCAACTTAGTAGATCTTCTATCAAACAACATCGTTCCATCGCTTTGACTACTATAGCTAATATTTTAGAAAACAGTAGTAAAGGCTGGTACGACAAAGTTTTGTCACCAGCACCGTTAGTTACGTTGAATCAAAATAATTTCTTACTTTTATTAAGATTTTCGTTGGATGATTCAGTCGAAGACGTGATTAAGGCAGCTCTGCAGGCATTAAGAGCATTTATTTTTAACGAATCAGATGAGATTTGTTTGGATAAATTGTTTGGTTGGAATAAATATAAAGAACCTACTTTGAAACCTCCATCTTCTGATATCAAGGATGAAAGTACATTGAAGGACCACGAACTCGTACAAATAGATGCTGTTTCTGCACTTCTAAGATCAGATATTATTTTAAGAATTAGGTATAATATTTGTATTCCTTATTAAGTTAATATAATTTATAATAATCTCACGAATTATATTTTAGATACATCTTAGGTATTAAATTATTTCCAACCGTTGGTTTGGCGTGCGCTCTGGAAGTATTAACTCGTCTTGCAAGATATTCGCATATAGTTGCATTGAATATTGCAACTACCCCATATTTGTTGGATACTATAATTAACAATTTAATGCCCTTATCTGTCAGTGGGATAAGTAAGAAACATGCAGATAAATAGAATTATTATATCCTTAAAAAATTTTAATATTGCGATTAACGAATGTATTTTTATTTTAGATTTCAAGAGTCCTGATATTCCACTAGTCGAGAGTGTACGTTTGTGTCGAGTTTTAGTTTATTATGGTGGAAGAGCGGTTGCTGAAAAATTAATTCGATTGAATATCATTCAGTGCATTCTATCTTATGTTGAAGATCCAGCGACAACCGAGTAAGATTATATAATTTTAATACTAGTATTTTTTTTTTTTTTTGACATTGATAACATTTATTAAATTCTGTTTTAGAATGACTCATGGAATTATGTTGAGAATAGAAAGTTATAGACTTTGGAAATTGTTGCTAAATCACAATTTAGCAACGAACAGCTTAGATGGTATACAAGTAAGGCTTGCAATGGAGTTAGAACATTTTTTAAGTAATCACGATATCAGAAAAGCTTCAGAATACGAATGTGAATATGCAATTGCAATTATAGCTGTATGCAGTACCTTGCATACATTTAAGGAGAAAATGTTGTTACTGTTATCAAAATGGAGTTCACAATTATTTTCATTATCGTCTCCTAACGTAAGTTTTTGTAAATCACGTAAAGTAAAAAAAAAATGTAACTTAAATTAATATAATTATTATAAATTTTACAGTGGCCCGCTTTAAAATTATTTTCACAAGCATTGCTAGCTGTTAACGATTCAAAGCCCTCGGAAATTAATTGGGTTTCGAATTCAAATATATTTTCAGAATTATGGTAAGTTTCTGTTTTATTATATCAGTGTTAAATTAAGAAATATACTTTCAATATAGAATAATATTATTTATTCATATTGTTAACAGTTTTAATTCCAATTTATTGAGTACCTGTACACCAGCTGTTGAACGAGAACCACCCTACCTGTCAAATCTCGGCGTAACGACAGAAGAAGGCCTATTGCAACCAATTATGTTTTCTACTTGCATTCCATTTCTATCAGTAATACTGGATAAGTTTCGTCACGAATCCTTTGAAGAAGGTATTCTGAGGATATTCAATCAATCAGGTTTTATAAAATATATTCAAGAACTTGAATCATCTAATTGGCATTTGGAACGATCGTGGTATACGCGAATAGAGTTTTATTTTCTCATCAGTGTTGTTAAAGCTGCACAACTTATTACTAAACAATTAAATTCTACGATGAAGCGTAATATTTGGAAATTATCTATTAAACTTATATCGGCGTTACCGGGAGACTTTTCCGATGATGTGATAGATATGTTGAAAATTGCTTTGCCCAAAGAAGAATTAAATATGGAATCAGTAACTTATAAACTATCGCAATTAAATTTAAATAACGCCAATAATTGTGCGAAACATGAAATAGCTACTTTGTATAAAAAGTATATTACAACAAATTCAGATTGGCGTCAAGCAGCAATGCCTAAAGATTGGTTCTATTTACCTTTGGTACATATTTATACTAAGTGTAGAAATAATGAAAATATTACGGAAGAAGATACGAATAATATCTTAGTTATATTAGGTTTAGAAGTAACTTCACCTAATTTTGTTGCAACGTTATGTCCAACGTTAAGATTTAGTAGGCTGGTATTAACATATTTGTGCGATACAATTTATTTAAACAATGATATATCCGTTTTATTAAACATAGCAATGGAAGAATTGGTGAAAAAGTATCACGCAAAGTTAAACTTTACTAAAGATTTACCAGGATTAAATTCTTTCGTTGATTTGTTCACTGCTATGTGCGAACACTTTTGCTCTACTTCTTATGGTGATAATAATTTTGCTACAATATTATTAATTCTTATCGCACAGAGACATGACGCGCATTACAGAAAATTATTGTGGTCTGAACATGCCGGCGTACTCAGGTATTTGAGATTACCTTTGAACAAGTTAATGATTCCTTTAAATGAATATCTATATCCTCTGGAAGAAGACACGTCGTTGATAGAAACATATATAACAGTACTCGTTAGAAATACAATTAAACCAGAATGGTGTCCTGTACCATATACAATCGCACTTCATCATTCAGCTATGTATTTAAAGCGTACCTCTAAATTAGCGATTAAAATGAGAACCAAATTAGAAAAAATTCGTGATCAAAAGTTGATCGATAAATTATTAAATTACGAATCGCCAAGACTGTAAAAGAAAATATTTGTTAAGGATAATTATTTTGTAGAAAAGAGACAATATTAAAACTTAGATTTTATTGAATCGTTATTTATTCAGATTTAACAGATAGAGTATTCGCATTGAAATATTTTTACAAAATATAGGACTCGTAAAACAATATCTAGAAATGTTGTTAAGCTTTGAAAACATGAGTTTTTACTTATATACACTAAAAAGAATATTTATTTCTAAGAAACTTGTATTACAATGCTTTTAAAAAATAATACGCAAGTAAACAGTGCAGATTTGTATTTCATAGTAGAATTTCAATACTACACTCGCAGGTACAACTCATTGAAAATGTTCATGTTTCTAATGTTTGATAATAAAGAATAGGAACGATTAGTATTAAGCACAGAGGCACTGTTTGGTCATTTGAGCTGGTTTGAACATCAATATTAAATACCTGATCAGTTTAACCAAGATAATTACAAGAAATTTACAGAAAATTATCAAACGAAACATTGTAGAAATAATATTTCTTGTGATATTAGATTTTTTACAAATATTTTTCATATAATATTATTGTATTGTTGTTACGCGCGAAGCCAAATATTTAAATCAGTTCGAGCATGAACGTTTTGTGTAATAAAAATCTTAAATGATAATATTATCTCGAAATTTTAATTAATATTAATATTTTCATAAATATTAAAGAGAACAATTTGATGTTTATTTTTTTATTTTTAATTCCGAGAAGATTATTTGTTTAATGAGTTTTCTTCGCAATACCGTGTACATGTATATCTATATAGATTGGTCTCTTCTTTCTTTTTCTTTTTTTGTTAACAGCGAAAAGCACATAGCCAAAAGTATATATAATATATGACAAAGATTATGAAGAATCCTATAAATCTTATTAGATATTATATCTTTTGCGATGAAAATATATATATATATATATGTCAGCGTTAGATTATATAATTTAGTTACTCGTTTTATAAAGTAACGCCAACATATAAATATAAAGTGGGACAATAACTCTATCTATCTTGAATATCCTTTTTTTTTTTACAATCGTATTAAAAAACTTTGAAGGAAACAAAAATTGCATTATTTCAGAGGAGAAATCTAATAGTTGAAAGAATTTTTTCTCATGGTTATTTTATTAATGAAATTTCAAGTTTATCAAAGTGTTTCTTTTTAAATGAAATTATATATATTTTTTCGATATTCTTGTAGAAGAATTCAAGATGGACAGAATTATTGTGCTGCATCCTTTATATTATTAATTCTTATTTCGAAAATATTCCGAGTACATTAGACATACTGATTTTATTTTCAATTTACGAACTGATATGTTGTTCGATGTGTGCGAGAACGATCGTGTTCAATAATTCTATCTTAAATCTTTTTTTTCTAATTCAAAATTATTCAGTGCTTTATTTTTTATATTTTAATTGTCATTAGAATACATTATGGGTTGCATTGATATTTTGAAAAAACATTCACATTTCGCGGACTTATTTCATTTCAGATATTTCAAATGATTTTGGCGCAGAATTAAAAATTAAACGCATTAATAAATAATTACATATACGTATTTATATATGTGTGTTAATAGTAATTGCGATTTACGCATATACAGATAGTAATTGCACTCCATTGAATATTATCATTCAAAGCAAGCATTTCGATCATCAAATTATAGAACTCGCTTTGCAAATACATTTATACAACATTTGTTCTATTAATCATTCACGTAATGTGGCAGAACATCGAGAAAGCATTGCATAAGCATAATATTATCATGTTCTGTCATTTCCCATAACATTTTTATATATTTATCGAAACTAAACGAACGATTGATGGTAATTCGATAATTCAAATTTCCCACATTTATTTTGAATAAACTACCCTCTCCGTAATAGATAGGTGCTGCCACCTATGCACGTTAAACTTTGTTCGATCATATTAAATTCGATATTTCGATAATACAATATTTATCGTTTATTAACAAAATGGCGAACGCAGAGTAATTAACAAATCTCTCTCACACAGTGATCATTCTTAATTAATAATAAATTATTTCTAAAAATAATTAAACGTTATCATTAAAGAAAAATCATATTTTAAAATAGTGACTAATACGAAAAGAAAAAATCAAAATCTTATCTCGGATAAATCAATTTTTTAATTTAGTGTAGTATACTAACCCATCGTTCTATATATATTTATGTGATTTGAATTTAAATGAAAAAAATAAGAGAAAGAAATGAATTATGGCATTAATTCCAATCGCTATGATTCTATACCAAGTTTTCTGTAAGTTTCTCGATCAACCGTAACGAGTCTTCCTTCAACGCTGGTACAATCCAGTTCGATACAATGCAATCTGGCTCCCCATTCACAATGACTCTGATCATCCTGACGGTAATATTTAATTTGCAGACAGGTGGTAAGGTAACCCGAACCAAGAACCCGCATGGCTATCGAAAGTTCCTCTCGATGACCCCTCGCACTCGCAGGTATTCCTTTTGTGCTGTGATAAGCGCTGTATGCACAAGCTGTACCATCTCTTGCACGTTCGATGGCTTCCACTTGTTTTCCTCCTATGCTCAACGATCTGTAAGTTTATTTATTTATTTATTTTAATTAATTAATTAATTTATTATTTTCAATCGTATCTCTCATTTAACATTTCATTTTTCAAACTAATTAAACATTATTATGCATATATGTGAAGAATATACTTAGAGTTATTCGAGAATATCTGTTTTATTTTATTTTTTAAAATTTCAATAATTATTATATTACAGTTCACAGTTTTTATTAGTTTATTTGTTCAAGTAAATGTTAAATAGTTATGGTGCATTAATTGTTCAATTCTTTTTAATTATAATCTTACACAAAGTGTTTGTTATTTATTAATAGATTAAATATATACTTTTATTAATCTTAATATTAATATATATTAGTAGTTTTATATATATTATTTGTTGTTTGAGTATAATAAATTGATAGAAATTCGTGCGAAAAAAATGCGGGAAACTTTTTGAATTTGACGCGCTCTCTTACGCAATCGATTTTACGCGGGAAAGAATTATTCAAAATTCAAAATTAATTATTATCTTTGTATATTTATTTTTCAATATTATTTAATTTTAAAATAATAGATATTATATTAAAAATATTTCATTAATTCTATCTATCAATCTATCTATCGAAATTTAATTTAAAGATACGTAAGATATTTGTTAGGATTACGTTAAATTATATTATTTTATATGAACTGAGAGATTCGTAGATAAAATAAATCATTCTTTGGCTATAATCGTGCAAATAAACTCGTGAATTTTACGATCGAGTACTAACAAATTATGTTATCGTTGAACGAAATTTATTTTTCCTTTTTAATGCACACAAATAAACGCATGAATAATTCTTCTTTCAACGAGAGTTATCAATGCAAAAAGAAAAAAAAACATTAATAAAACGTCGTTCGATTTCCCGGTTAATATATTTTTAAAAATAAAAACAAAAGAATTTATAGTTGCAATTTAACGTTAATAAAAAAAAAACAAATGGAATTATAAATTGCATTTCGGTCGAGTTACTTTCGATATGCATGAATTTTTTGTATTTTTATTTTTTTTTTTATTTCCTATCCGAGTTATCAACGTCAGGATTTTTTATTTTTTTCTATCAAATTTATTTTCTTCCTTTTAAAAAAAAAAGAAGAGTTTCGTTTTGTTTTCGTTAAATTATTTTTATTTGTATTATACGTGAAGTTTAAAACGTTTTGTGCATATGTGCATGATGTGTGCATGTATAGTCTCTCTCGAATGTAGATGATAATAATAATAATAATAATAGAATCTTTTGTTAATGACAATCGATTCTTTAGCAGTGCTGACATCATTTCTTTGAACTAGTAGACTAGTAACAGGTCGATAGTTTACATTGCCAAGAACTACCAGTACATAGAATCATTTTCTTCTTGAGTATACCAACTTATAAATTAAACGTTAAACTTTGTAACAGGAAATGGGGCCAAAATTGGATATGTAAATACGAGTTTAGGAAAAAAAAAACCAAATATAAAATGAATTTTTTAAAATTTGTGCATATATAAATTGTATATAATATAATAATATTAAATATATTTAATATATATATAATATATAATTGTATATAATATATATATATATAGTAAATCAAGAGTTTATAAAAAGATGTTCTATGAAGAAGATAGTCCACGTTTCATGTTTATATCTGATGCTCAGTTAGGAAATGCACAACGTGACAAAGCTCGTTCATCTTAGTTTATGAAAGTATAAGTATTGGCTTGTAACATATATAAACTGTTTTCACATACTAAAACGATTAAACTTCAGTTTTAAAGAATGTTCTTTCTTTTTTTTATTAAATATATTAAATTCTAAATTCTACAATATATATATATATATATATATATATATCGTTGTAAGATATTTTTCAATAATAAATAATACAACGAGAAATAATATTTTATAATATGTGAAAGTAGAATAATTCGTGTACAAAGTATATTACAAATCCAATAATTATTTTGATTAACAATTTTCTTTTTTTTATTATCGAGAATTGGGATGTGTTTTATAATATAAACTCGAAGGGAAAAAAAAAAATAATCAACGAAGTAATTCAACAGTTTAAATTAATCCTTGATTGTAATAGTAATGTATGTTCGATCACGAAATAATTTAATCCTTCGTTTAAGCTCATTTAGTGTCGGGTCTCGAATAATTGATTTAGATTTGAGGTACTACTAGCCTAACATTCAGAATATCGATCGGTACTTCCTCATTATACTTAAAATACACAGTTTTTGTTTCTGTTTTTTTGTATTTTCCATCGTTAAATATTACTTTACTCAAATATTTCAAATACAAAACTACCTACCAATTTTATTAAAATGTTTATCCTAAAATTATTCACGAAAAAATCTCGAAATAGGTATATTATAAAAAATAGAATTTATCATTAAGTATTTTAAATAAACAAAAATTCATAAATACACGGGGACACATATACAAAACATACGTTCACATTTTGCGAATATTTTACCGATTTTTTGTTTTTTGTTTCTTTTTCTTTTTCTTCCCCTACACCGGTTTTCATTTTTACTTTTATTCCAATCGACGAGATGGGTTGGTTGGTAGAAGATGATGTACCATCGTCGAATGAAAAAACGAGTAAAGTATTTTTTTTTTCCTCCTTTTTTTTTCGGTAATTAAAATGATGAGTAAGTAAGCAAATGCACTTAGTTTCTTTTTTGCAATTAAATTATTTTAATGAAAATAATTATTGCATCCTTTAAAATTCTTAAAATTTTATAAAGATCATTGCGTGAAATAATTCAATTTTATAAATTCGACATTAGGTTAAATATTCTAAGAGAATTCGTCCGAAATACGAGTGGGGTGGATATAATGCATGCTGCTGGTTATTCATACTCGATGAAACCCTTAAAGAGATGTGTACGTGACGATTAACAAAAGGATGAAGCATAAGCTCTGTCTGAATATATGCACGCATTTAAATGTAAGCATTTGCATATTTCGAAAGAGGATATATATATATATAACAATAAATACGTGCAATTTCTATCGAAAAAATCCCTATACTATTCTTTTTTTTTTTTTTAATATTCTAATTTTTCATTTCCCCCATTTATTATTTCTGAATATTTTTTGTTCGTAAAATCTAACAAATTTTGTCGACAAAACTTGTCCCCTTTTTGTTGTTGTTGTTGTTGTTTATTCTATGCACTTACATTTAAAAAAACAGAAAAACCTATTTGGAAGATATTGTAGGTTGAGGTGGAAACAAAAGGAAAAAAAAAGAAGAAACAAATTAATTAACAATATTTGTATACCTAGGATGTGTGTTGGGTTTAGTTTATTATTAGCAGTTCATTTCATTTGATCCAATTCGTTCTATTGGCAACTAACGGAATTGTGTCGTAAAAAAAGAAAGGACAAGTTAAAGAAATACGATAAGTTTCTCAATTGAAGGGTTCGTGCATTCGATTCATCGAGACCTCGATTACTAGTAACTGTGTATTTTTCATTTCACACATTCTCGTATTTATTCATTCTATATATAGAAATAAAAAAAAACCGTTAGAGATAGTAAAATAAAACTATAATAAAATAGATGAAGTAATTTTTTTCTATCTTTATTGAATAATAAATAAATTAAAACAAAAACAAAAAAATAGGAATAAGGTTTTAGAGTTCTTTATAAAATTTTTATTATTATAGGAATTTAATATTAAATTATTATAGGAATAATCATTACTTTTTATTCTATTTTTTCTATATTATATTATACATTTTATTTAGATTTTTATTATAAAATAAAACGTAAAATTGTTAAAAAAAAAAATTTGTCATAGGTTTATTTTCTAAATACACTAATAAAAAAATGTTGATGAAATTATGTAATATCATTTTAGTTGAACTAATTTAATATGAGATCTTTGAACGTTACGTTATTATAAGTGTCGAAAATTCGTTATATTTTCGTGATGTTATTTTGAAAGGATTTTAATTCAGGATAGGATCGTACGTTGATATTTGACGTGTATTCTCATGCAGGTAAGAAAGAGGTGCTTTTTATCCAAACGTGAGATTGCACCAGATGGCACACACGCGATGTACCATATAATACCTATGAGTTTTACCTTGAACTCCAAAATTTCAATCGTTTGACAAGATCGATTAGTATGCGACTTCAATGCTTATCAAATTTACAATCAAAAGTATTTTAAATAGTTCATTCTCTCTCTCTCTCTCTCTCTCTCTCTCTCTCTCTCTCTCTCTTTCAATCTATTTGAATGCAACGAAATTTATTATATTTATCGTAACCTCGATTGTTAATTTTAACATTGTTTTGTTATACTAGAATAATAATAATAATAATAGGCCAATATAGGATTCACGACACGAACGTCTAGCTCAAATTGCTTTTTTATAATTACCCATAAGTGGTATGGTAAATATGATTACCATGTAACGTGACTATACACCCAAAGAAATAATGTTATTTGCGTAGATATACAACACCATACGTTCAATAATGATGGAATATTGTTGCATGACAACCAACTCAAAGTGTTACCTGTATTTTTATTTTACTTTATTTTATTTTATTGTTTATCTCATTCTTTACCTTCATTAAATCACGAATAATGTATTTTTTTTCTTGAAATGGTAGAAAATTAAAATACAATTTTATTGTTGTTACAAATTCTTTCAATAATTTATTTCAACTAATTCGAAACACTTTTGATTAGTTATACGTTAGAATAAAATTGAAAGTTTGTCGTGCTTGGTATGAGAATAATTTATCAACACATTGAGTTGTTCGTAGAACTTTTAACGATTTTTCAAAAGCTTTAAAAAATAATGTTAACCTCGTGGCAGGATTTAAAGGGTTTTGGGTTAGGAAATCTGATGGTGGTGGTGGTAGTGGTACTTATATACTAACTATCTTAGAAATCACGTTGAATTTAAAACGACTTAAGGTTCGTTGAGAAGAGTATATAAGTATGAACATCACGCGATCCTTCAGGTATAT